GGTCGCACTTTGAACTCAACGTCTGGCATTGTTGCGCACAACTGAGGCGGCAGTATAATCGGACAGAAATATGCTGTTTCGGCCAGGCCTCAAAAAGCTCGGGCCAGGTTGGAGGCAACCGGGGGGTCTTAGCTGGTTGGGACCCCAGAATCTCGACCAAGAGGGGGGAATGAGGCCAAATCTGCTCAAAATCAGTCCCAGGACCCCCCCTGGGATCCACCTGGGCCAAGTTTGCGCCCCGAAGCCGTTTCTTTCTGATGGTCCCAGGGCCCAACAATTATCCCCGGACGCAGAACAATACAAAAAAAAACCCTCAGCGAACCCCGCACCTCGGACCTGCCACCCCTTCCTGCTCGCCAGAACCAGTGCTGGGCCACCTCCGACCCCCAGCCGGCCCCAATGAGCATCATTCAACAGATCACTATCAGGGGAGCCCAGAATCGAATCGATAAGTCGGATCGGCGATCGAAATAAGTCGGACCGGCGGAAATCGGCAGCTGAGTCGGGAAAAGTCGAATCGGCGGGCATCGGCAGGCTAGTACGCGTCCAACAAGAAATCGGAGCCCAAATCGGAATCCCAAGTCGAATCGAATCGACATCGGACGCAATCGAAATCGAATCGAATCGAATCGGCGGAATCGAAACGAGCCCTGCCCCAATGAGCATCATTCAACAGATCACTATCCCCACTGGCGTGGCCTGGGCCCCACTGGCCGACTTACCCCCCCCCCCCTGCATGGGGACGTAGGCTGCTCCTTTTTGGGCTTCGAGGGAACTATAGCCCCAGCTGGGGTGGTGGGATGGATGGAGGGGCTGAGACTGAGATTTACATGCCTGCTGGTTGGGGATGGGGTGATATATTAATCCAAGGAGGAGGAGGAGGATGGAGGGGAGGAGGACGAGGAGCGAGGAGGAGGAGGGAAAAGAGGGAGGAGGAGGAGGAGGAGGCGGTAGGGAGGAGGAGGAGGAGGAGGAGGAGGAGGAGGAGAGGAGGCGGAAGGAGGGAGGAGGAAGGCGGAGTGAGGAGGAGGAGGAGAGGAGGAGGAGGAGGAGGAGGAGGAGGAGGAGGGGGAGGGGGAGGAGGAGGAAGGGGAGGAGGAGGCATGTCGTAATAAAAGGGAGGGGGTCAAAACCCTCCCAGACGGGCAAATTCAATTTCAGACACACCCCAGACCAGCCATGATGGGGCGGCCTTGTGCCCATACCCCACTGGAACCCTCCAAGACAGCTCAACTCAGACCCCCCCCCAATCAGACCACTACCCTCTTCTCGCGAAATCCCGAGTCCACCCCTTGGACAAGCCTCCCCTGGATTCACCTCATGGAGCCTTTCAGAACCCCCACCCCACCCCCACCCCCCTCACCCGGTGAAAGTACAACGCATCCGGCACCCTGGAAGCGCTACCTCGGCACCGGAGGAGCCCCCAGAGAGCACTCGGGGCCAAGCGAAGCCTTGCTGGGGCCCTGCTATTCTTCCATGAGGCATCGCGAACCATACCGAGCCCAGGCCCAGGCACCCACCCAGAGGGTAAAACAGGGCTAGGATCGGGATAAATCGCTCCAGAGCGTTCCAGAGCGCTCTCAGAGCGTTCCGGAACGCTCTGGAGCGGCCGCGGCGCCCAATACATCCCCCAAACCCGCCGATTCTCAGAGATTTCGAGTTATCCCGATCCGATTTTGTCCCGATCTTCGCGTCGTTTTAGGGGCCGCCGCGTCGCCCGACGCCGCGCGCCGTGCGCGAGGCGCCCTGGAGATGGGCAGCTCCCCGGCCCGGGCCGGGCCCTCCGCGCGCGCCGCGGGGCCCGTGCGCGAGGCACGGCGGAGCCCGCAGCGACCGGGGGCCGCGCGCCCTGTGGAAGGCGGCCCGCGCCCTGCCCTGAGACCCTGGGGCCTCTGATGGGCCCGTTCTCCACCACCACCACCATAGGTTGGGCGGGGGAAGGAGGAGGAGGAGGAGGAGGAGGAGGAGGAGGAGGAGGAGGAGGACCCCGTCTCCCCTCCGATTATGGTGGTGGTGGTGGTGGTGGTGGTGGTGGTGGTGGTGGTGGTGGTGGTGGTGGTGGTGGTGGTGGTGGTGGTGGTGGTGGTGGTGGTGGTGGAGAACAGGCCCATCAGTCTCCACTTGTTCGAGCCGGACGTCTTCGTCTCAAGCCGGCTCGACAAGTGGCTCGGCACTGGGCCCGACCTGGAGGGTTGCAGCCGGCCTTGGGCCAGGAGAACGTGCCTCAGGAGCATGAGCCCCTCCGTCGGCCAATACAAACCAACCAGCCAAGGGCACCCTCCCCAGCATGCACAAGAGCATCCAAGGAACACGAAGGACACTAGGGCACCTCCCCGAGCCGACCTCGATCTTGCACCTCGGTCCGACTGTACAGAGGTGGACCGAGGTGGCGACGTCCGAACCAAATCCCTGCCGCCCATCGAGCTGCCTGAATCGTTGATCGGCGAGGTTGGGGACGGGCACTCGCCGCCGACTCGCGCCCCTGGGGCCGACCTGGACGGCCCCACTCCGTCGGAGGCCTCCCCGAGGCACCGCGCGTGGGAGCCGGAGCGAAAGATCGGCAACCGCGGGACGGGCCTCGGGGAACCGCGCGCGGGGCCCCGAGCCCTCCCTGCGCGGCCCCGGACCCCGCAGAAGGCCTGCCTCCCCGATGCCCTGCGCGACTGGCACGACACGCCGAATCCGATGGATCGTCCACTCTGGGACGGGCCCCAGTCGAGTCCAGTCGCGAATCCGGAGAACAGTCTGCCCGTCGATGCGCCGGCAACCGCGTGACAGCATTGCACGTTGTCTGCCACCCGGTGTCTGCGCCGACCGACGAGATTAGGACGCCTCGCACGTGGCCCGACCCAGATCCCACCCGCCCTCTCTGGGGGGAGGCGGTATAACGAAATCCCTCTCCCTTCTTCCCAAGCCCACTCTTCCCCCATCTGGGGAGGGAGTCATCACCGTACAGACAGGTGTGCTATGTCGTCGCCGCCCGTCGTTCCGTGTGCCGGCACAGAGATTGCTGACAAACCTCTAAACCGACCTTCCGTGTGCTGGCACACGGAAAACTAAATCCCAGAAAAATCAACATGTCCAAATTCGTGAAAATTGCGGCAGTCTCACGGATGGCGGCTTCTAGGGCTTCAAGGCGGAGGAGGCATGGGCCTCGAACCAGACCAGCGACAAACCCGAGTCAATGCGGGCCCCACCCCCCGCCATCCCTGCCACTGGCCATCGCTCGGACGTCCATTCCCTGTGTTTTTGTTCGGTTTCGTGCGTGGTTTTTTCGCCAAGTGATTAAGAATGATCCTCGATGGTCCTCGCCGAGGAAGAAACGCACACGTCCGAGCGATGCCGAGGCCAACACGCACTGCAAGGTGCACCCTGCGGCAGGATCTGGGCCGGTGCGACCGCCCTGCGAGCACCGTGCGCTGGCTCTTGTCAGGGACGGCGGGGGTGCCCATACAGGGCAGGTTCTAAGACATAGGATTTTTAAACATCTAGGACCTAGGACGGGGCGTTGACCTAAGGAACCCTAAATAAGGAACGAGGCCCCTTTTTCCCATAAATTAATCTTCGATTTCCTATCGAAAACATAAGGACAACCTGAGGCAAGCCGTGAAACACTTAAGGAACGCGGAGCCCCTCCCCAACCAAAAGGGTTCCTTCTTCAGGGCCCCGACTGTAATTTATGAGTAAAGTTATGCATGAGCTCATCGTTGTTTTTGATACTGAATCCCTGCATGTTTAATACGTGACCCGCACGCGGAGCATGTATGAAAAAAAAAGGCACTGTACGCTCCACCCTGTGCGGGCCTGCCGTCCCTGCCATCACACCATGCCACATACAGTCGGGGCGTTGACCTAAGGAACCCCAAAGAAGGAACGAGGCCCCTTTCTTCCATGAGGTAAGCTCCGACTTCCGATCGAAAACCTAAGGCACACCAAATGCGAACTGCAGAACTACTACGTAAGGAACACTGAGCCCCTCCCAAACCAAAAAGGGCTCCTTCTTCAGAGCCCCGACGGTGTGCCCCGCGGCACAGGCCCGGGCCGGGCGCGGACGCCCCGTGGTCGCTCTGCTCGGGCGTCAGAAAACGGACGGCGGTGGTGCCCGGTGCCCTCCTCCTCCTCCTCCTCCTCCTCCTGCCTCCTCCCCCTCCCCCTCCTCCCTCCTCCTCCTCCTCCTCCTCCTACCCCTCCTCCTCCTCCTCCTCCTCCCCCTCCTCCTCCTCCTCCTCCTACTCCTCCTCCTCCTGGTTCGCGCTCCGCTGGCCCGCCATCACTGCCCACGCACAGTTCAGTGGCAACTCATGGGAGCCTCCCATACCATCTTGTCGGCTCTTGCGAATCGACGCTAATCGACTCTAGTCGACGCTAATCGACGCTGAATCGACGCTAGCCGACGCTAACTGACGCTAAATCGGCGTTCTCTCATCGACCCCCAGACGCTAATCGACGCTAACCGACGCTAAAGACGGAATTGAAAGGGTACACCAGGCTCCCATGACTTGCTACCGAAGCACAGTGCTCGTGAAGCACTCTGTGTGGCAAAAGCTGGGTCCTGCGCGGGCGCCCCGCGAGCCTTAGGCGGCGGTGCTTGAAGAGGGGGGCAGCGGGAGGGGCTCATATTCACTGCTCTGCGCAGGCTCATTTTTTTGGTTGCTTATTGGAGAGAGTCCGAGAGCTGCACGCAGAAAGCAACGCTGATGGGTCAAGGACAACGGTGATGGTTCCAACCACACAAAGTCGTTCCTGATCGCTACTGCTGCGATGCAGAACATGCATATGGCCCGGTTACAAATACGTGAAAACGTCCACCGCCTGCAAACGAACTACTGGCAGGTTGCCCAAAAAAACAAGCCAGGGCGCTGGCCGAAGGGGGGAACGTCTGCGCGAGGGCCTCCCGCGCGACCTCCAGAAGTTTGTGCTCATGCGAGAGCTTGTGCTTCGCCCTCCACCACCACCTCCGCCCCCACTCCCCCCCACACACCCCCACCAGCCCAGACCAGCCCCGCCCGAATCGTCGTAGACATCGGTCACTGACAACTGGTTGGTATCTGTGCCCATTCCAGTCGCTTAGCACGGAGCGTGGTGCCAAAATCCTCGTCGACCGTGGTTGATTATCTAGGAATGAACAACCTAGGTTCATTATGTTCAGATGATACCCCCATTGGATTAATGTTCTGTGGATGGATCGGTGTCCCCCCTTCGCCGGATCATTTCATTCTGGAATAATGCATCTGGGGTCGATATTCCGACATAACGAACGAGGGTTGATCCCATTCCAAACTCCTTCTCAAGCGCTCACCCCCTCCGCCGGATCATTATCATTCCAGGAAAAAAGCTAAGTTCACTATTCCAATTACATTACGAACCCCAGTTTATGATATTCTAGAGATAACGGACTAGGGTCAATATTCTAACATACTGAATCCCAATTTGGATGCACGGGGTCGGGGAAAAATAATTAGAATTATTCCGGGATCATGAATCCGGATTCAGAATATCCACCTATGGCTCAGGCGACGCCCCTCAACCTCCATTAATATCATTCCAGAAATGTAAACCTGTGTTCATTATTCCCGAGGCATTATGAACCCCAGTCAATATTTCCAGAACATTATGAACCCAAATGAATATCATTTTGGAGCCAATATTCCCGGATCAGTATAAACCAAGGTTCATAATTTTCCGGGGGATCATTATGAACCCCAGTCAAGATGTCTCGGAACATTCAAACCCAGGTTCATAATGTTCCCAGGGGATCATTATGAACCCTGGTCAATAATCTCGGCACAGTATGAACCCAGGTTGCTACCTTCTTGCGGTTCGTCCTGTTAGCACGGGCCTGCCTAAGCAACGTTCTGCTGCTTAGCACCTCGGCGCTCTAAATAAGCGCGGCCCTGCATGGAGGAGTACAAGGAAGAGAAGATGCCATGAGTGGGGAATACTGGGGTGGAACTGTAGTTGATGCCGTTCCTCGGGAGGTCATATCGGAGCCGTTTTCTTGTTGTCAGCGGCTGCCCGACCGTCATGAGCTGAAAAAAAACATCGCGCGGATCGGACCCCGTGCGTCGGGGGAGAAAGACTACGAACAAACATCGTGCAGGATACCTGCTCTGGTGCCACGGTGGCCCTGCGATGGGAGGAGGTGGAGGAGGCGAGCGAAGAGGAAGAGCGAGGCGCCCACTGGGCCAGGCAGGAAAAACCGCCTGCTGCCAGGATACTGGCTGCCAGGGTATGGAGTCCGCCCGCACCAGCCATCTCCGAGACAGCACTACAGTCGGGGCGTTGACCCAAGGAACCCTAATAAGGAACGAGGCCCCTCTTTCCCACAAGTGAAACTTCGATGTCCCATCGAAAACATGAGGAAAACATGAGGCAAGCTGTGAAACAATCGAGGAACACCGAGCCCCTCCACAACGAAAAGGGTTCCTTCTTCAACGCCTCGACTGTTACGAGGCCGATGTGGCATCACAGCAGCAATTCGGCCCCTGACTTTCGTCCTGGGTTCGGTTTAGTGAAGTGATGAATTTCGGGGTCCTTACGTGGGAAAAAACATCACTTCACTAATAATCTGGGGCCCCTGGGGCCTCAGTGGGCCCTGGGGCCCAAAATTAGTGAAGTGATGGTTTTCGGGCCTCGGAACTGTGCTGCCCGGCGCAGGCACAGGCGGAAAACGGCCGCCCGCGCCGCACCCCGAGCGCGGAGCGCGGCGCGCACCAGAGAGGACGCCCGGCCAAGAGACAGTCTGGAGCCGCTCGCACAGGCGGCGGAGGAGGAGGAGGAGGAGGAGGAGGAGGACGCCGACGAGGAGGAGGAGGAGGAGGAGGAGGAGGAGGAGGACGTCGAGGAGGAGGAGGAGGAGGAGGAGGAGGAGGACGTCGAGGAGGAGGAGGAGGAGGCGCCGCAGTGCCGCCGCGCGCGAACGTGGCGCGCTGCGAGCGGCGCGCCCAGCACGCCCGGGCCGGCTCCCGCCCACGTGCACGGGAGGGAGCGCAGAGGAGAGGAGGGGAGCCATGGAGGAGCGGGACGACGGTGAGCGTCGAGCAAAGGGGGCGAGAACGGACGGGAAAGCTGCAGATGCAAGGTCAGCAGCTCGCCTTCGGCGCCGCCGATGCAGCGCAGCGCAACACTGCAGCCACGTCGTAAGAGCACAGTGGGGCGCCGCCACATACGCGCGAGTGCGAAGACGCTGGACATCATGGCGCCTCCTCCTGGTCCTCCCCCCAGCCCACTCCCCCCCTCACCTCTTCCTCCCTCGGCATTCCCAGAAGAACCGCTGACTCGTTGGCTATGGCAAGAGATTGAAAAATGTGAGGCAATCCGCAAAACTACGGACTATGGCGTCGAGTCCGCAGTAGGATGAAGAAAAAGGCTTGTCCACAGCATTCGGGAGGGCTCCACGGAACGTCGAGAACTGCCAACGAAACAGCACCCCCCATCCCGCCACGTCCTCCTCTCTCAACCAACTCTCCCCCCCCACCGACGTGATTACAGCTCACGATGTCGAAAAATCCCAGCGCGATAGAAGCGGTGAAGGAAGTGCTGCACGGTGACTGCCCATCCCAGCGGCCTTTAGCTGGGGCTGGTCATTCGAGGAGGAGGGGAATTCGCAGAAGATGCGAGAAAGACTCGGGCGGATGGGTCGAGACCGGAAGCAACGCTTGCACTTCTTCGATCACGTCCGACTCAGTGCAAGACTGCTGCCAGCGAGCTGGCAGCCTGACCAATGGTCGTGCCGCTACCACGGCGAGACCGACTGGCCTCCTCACAAGACCTCATCCGTCGCCCTGCGGACGTCGTCCTCCGCCTCGCCCCCTTCCTCCTGTCAGGCCGAGACGGGCCCAGCGCGCTGCTCGGCCGCTGCCCGGGGCCGATCCATAGAAGGTGCCAGCAGCAACTCGCATCTGCAAACGCTCACGGGGAGAAAGACTGGACGCCCGAGCTATCCGGGGTAGCTCGGGCCCAGGGTAACTCGGGCTTGGGTTCCCGAAAAACGAACCCGAGTTAGCCCTGACCCGAGTTACCCCTGATGATTCGGGACTCTGGACGCCCGAAATATCCGGGGTAACTCGGGCCCTGGAGAACTCTGGCTCGGACTCCCGAAAAACGAACCCGAGTTAGCCCTGACCCGATTACCCCTGACGATTCGGGGCCCTGAAAAGACGGCAGCCTCCCGCAAGCCGGCTTCGCCCCTGCGCCAGCAACGGGTCGCCCCTCTCCCCATCCCCCCTCCTCCTCCTCCTCCTCCTCATCCGTTCTCCTCCTCCTCCTCCTCCTCCTCCTCCTCCTCCTCCTCCTCCTCCTCCTCCTCCTCCTCGTAATCCCGCCGCGCGCGCCGCCCTCCAGCCCCTCTCCTCCGACCGCGGGCGGCCCTGCCCGCCCCCCGCCCGCCCATTCCCGAAGAAGCGCGTGCGCGGCCCCACCCTGCGCGCGAGGCCCGCGGGGGCCAGCGCTGCCCCCAAATAGACTGGACGACTCAAATCAAGGAATCGGAGGAATCAATCGGGGATGGACGGACCTCCCTTTAGCAAAACGTGGTTCATTGAAAGCGACCTGAGGCCCAAACCTGGCGGGCGCACGCCTGGAAAATAACGGCCACGGCGCCCTCTCGAGAACCGAAAACGGACAATTCACTAATCGACGTGTCACTGTTGGGGGTTCTGTCCACCCCCGAAATAGACTAGACGACTCAAGTCAAGGAATCGGAGGAATCCAGCAGGTTTGGAATCCGGCACTCCGCAAGCGAGCAAGCGTGCAAGCGTGCAAGCAAGCAAGCAAGCAAGCAGGCAAGCAAGCAGGCGTATAGGCATGGGCGTGGGCATAGGAGTTCGGGGGAGGCATAGGCATAGGCACAGGAATAGCAACAGGAATCAGGGGGAGGGGGCATAGGAATTAGGGGGGTGGCAACGGACCAGTTAGTAGGGTTGGAGCAGGATTCCGATGGGGCAAGCCTACTTGGAGAAACATTGGACGGACGCGCCGAGGCGACGGAGCAGACTGGGGCCGTGTATCAGCCGAGCTGCGATTGAGCAGCGCGGCGGCAGGATTGTATGTTTGGGCAAGGGCGGCTGCGACTCGCCCGCGCCTGCACCTGACGACACCGAGCTGCAGCGGTCGCCCAACATGCCGCGATGGTAGTGCAGCGCGGCCAACCGAGATCGCCCCTGACATGACTTGACCCTCAACAACCGTTGAGGACAGAGGGGTCCTTCCCCCCGAAGCCCCACCACCACACACCACCACCACCCGCCCACGCCCCCAGCCCCCCTCTCGCTGGGTTCGCCTAAAGGCGCAACTCCTCGGCGCCCACGGTGCTCAACGCGATGTGCTGCTGCACACTCCAGAGCCCTTGTTGGCCAGAGGTTCGCTCGATAGCAAAGCCTCCAGCTAGCCCGAAGTCGGCGTCCTCCTCCAGCAGCAGAACGACCCACCACACCTCCCCCCCCCTCCCCACGGAAGTGGCGCGCTGAGCGACGCGCCGACGCCGCAGCGACCATGCAGGAGCGCGCTCCGACTGCACGTGCTGGCTAGTCTGGGTTGAAGTCTGGGTTCAAACAAAGCAAAAAAACACTCAGAACACTTAATGTCATATGACAATGAGCGCCACGGTACACTGGTGATCAGTCAGTATTGCACGTTGACCATATGGATGTCCCCGACGGCTGCCTTGAACCACTGTTTCATGTCCTCACTTCCACGAAGGCGGTGCCAATTGCCATTGGCGATCGTGCTCTCTTTTCGGTGCTCCTGGTCTATTGGGTGTTGAGCTCCCTCCTTGTGACCGTCAGCAGTTGCAACCGAACTGGTTTTGCCTCCGAAACCGTAAACGTCGAGCTGCTCGCAGACAGCAGCAAACACCACGAACGCTCGAAAACCAGTTGAGGGATCGTGCGGCACGCTGGCATGGATGAAATGTGTCAGGTTATGATGGAAGCAACCGACGAAAGAATGCTGAGGCGGCCATGGCCTGTATGCACCCTCACAGCCGGTGCTTCCGCTTCCTGTGTAAACTATACCCGCACCAAAACAACCGGAACCTGGCCCCGCGCAATCGATGCTTCCACTTGACGAACTGTGATTGCCCATGACCTGGACAGAATGATTGTTGCCAACAACAACGATATCAGTGCGCCTGCCAAAATCTTCGAAGAAAGGAGCTGTGGGGATCCGGTTGAGGCGGATCACCACGTCGTGCGAATCGATATCCGAACCTCTCCTGGCGCCAGCCAGTATGTCACCAGACCCGACGAGCGCACAACGCTTCAGGCTCAGATGTTCAAAACCTGGATTCAAAGCCGTGATGTTCACCACGGACCGTACCCGCGATGCGGCATCCGCTTTGGCGTGGGCAGCGCCGACCAGCGATCCCCGCGGTGTCCAGCGAGACAGGCAGAGGACACTAGCGATCCCCACAAGTGATATTAACAAAAAAAAAGACACAACTATCCAGTTGGTTCGCTCGAACTCTCTGGCCGAACGACTCCGACCCCGAATCATCGCTGAGGGAGCCACTATCCACTGCTTGATGTTCATCTGCTGCAGCGACAGGCAAGCGTATTGAGTTTGGACGGTTCACACCACACAGCGGTCGCGCCTGCACCAACATGGCTGACCTTGAACGAGGAGGCCGCGCAACCTGCAGCGGCAACACAGTCCTGCACTCCAAGTCTGTCCCGCGCCCCTGAAAAAAAAAGGCCGTCAACTCGTAGCCGCTCGCAGCGACTTGAGCCAAAATGGTTACGGCATGTTCTGTGCAGGCTCATGATCCCTGACCAAAGTGCACTTTGCAGCAATATCTGGATCATGCGCGGGCGCCCTGCGATCACTTTGCGCTTGTTTTTTTGCCAGGGTCGGCGGAGGGGCCCTCTTATCGGCTGCGGTGTGCTTCCGACGGGACTCATGACCTCAGTGAAATCGGGGCCCTAGGCTCGGATGCTGCCTATGTGTTGGGAGGGCGGGTTAAAATGAGCGGCGCAGTTTCTGGTTTGGGGTAGCTTGATCACTGTTCCCTATTAATAAACACCCCCTCCCCCAGGCGAAATTCGGAACATGCGCAGCCAACCCGATGCGGCCCCCCCGGACCATCCCTGTCAAAAAAACAATACAGAGTGCACTTAGCGGCGGCGGCGGCTGCGGCGGCTGCGGTTGCGGCGGCGGTGGCTGCGGCGGTTGCGGCGGCGGCGGCGGCGGCGGCGGCGGGGGCGGCGGCGGCGGCGGCCGGCGGCGGCGGCGGCGCGGCGGCGGCGGCGGCGGCGGGCGGCGGCAGCGGCTGCGGCGGCGCGGCGGTTGGTCGGCAGCGGGGTGGGGGGGCCCGGCGGCGCGCGGCGGCGGGCGGCGGCGGCGGCGGCGGCGGCGGCAGGCGAGGCGGCGGCGGCGGCGGCGGCGGCGGCGGCGGCGGCGGCGGGCAGCGGCGGGCAGCGGCGGCGGCGGCGGCGGCGGATAGACCCCCAGTAGCTGCCCATCCAAAGACAACCGCTGAATATGCTGAGGCTCGGGCCAGATTCGGGTGCTACCTATGTGTTGGGAGGGCGGGTGGGAGTGAACGAAACGGCTTGCGGGCGGGGAGGGGGTTTTGACCTCTCCCCCGACCCCCTTTCCCTGATGTTGGACGGGGGAACGGAGCGGTCAGAGGGTCCAGGATGGCCCGAAATGGGCACAATATGACCCCGATGCCCGAGAAGGGCCTCCAAGATGGCTCAAGATAGCCGACGAGCTCAAGGTAGCCTTCAACATACCTCCGAGAGGTCCCAAGGCGGTTCCAAGTATCCCCGAAGCCCTCCAAACCCACGAAGCGAAAATCGCCCCAGGATTTGAAACAAAATTATGATGTGTGTTTTTTATCGCCGTTTCGCCCCCAGTGGGCCTCTGAGGCCTCAAGATGACCCCGAGGTGGCTGAAGAGAGCCCAGAGGGGCCCACCCAAGAGGGCCCCAAGGCAGCCTCAAGAGAGCCCAGGAGCGCCCCCAGAGCGTCCCAAGAGGACCCCAAGAGGCAATCGTTCGACCTCCAGGGGGAACCCTACTTTGACGCAGCCTATGTCTAAGACCCTTGCGCTATAAGATGACCCCGCGAAGAGCCCCAGACCCACCAAATATGCTCAAGAGGGCCCCGGGGGCCCGAAGAAGGCTCCAGGAAGGCCCCAACTAGACCCCAAAATGGCTCCAAGAATCCCCCACAAGGCTCTTGCGACAAAAGACCCGCGCCTCGTCATCCTTCTCCTCCTCCCCTCCCTCCTTCTCACCTTCCTCGTCGTCCACATCATCCTTCTCCGCCCCCTCCTCCTCCTCCTCCTCCTCCTCCTCCTCCTCATCATCATCATCATCATCATCATCACCATCCTCCTCCTCCTCCTCCACCTCCTCCTCCTCCTCGTACATGGTCACACGTTTCCTCCTGCTCCTCCGCGTGCTCCTCATTATCATCCTCCCCTCCTTTACATCCTCATCCGAATGGCTCTCAAAAACATAGTTTCCAGATGGGCCGGTGGGGATATTTTTTTTGTCTGCGGCCGCGCGACAACGGTCTGGCGGCGAGGGGCAATGTCCAGGGCGGGCGGCACAAAGCGAATTGGCGACCCCAACCGCCACATTGGCAGGCCGGTTCGCACCTGCACAACAAGCGCGCAGTTGCACATGCACTGAACCAGATGCTCTGCATTCACCAGCAGACGCACCTAGGCGCCGCACTGTAAACCAAAGTAAACAAGCGGCCGCGGGTGCGAGTGCAACGGAGTGAGTCGCCGGTGCGGCGCTAAACTCCAAGCAGCCAGCTCGGCAAGCTAAGAGACACGAGCCCGGGAGACCGGGCTGCCGGCGGTGGAAAACAAGAGGCAAAGCGAGCGCGGAAGGCTGAACCACTCAGCGCGCAGCCCTCAGACTCCACCGCTCAGCTGGGGGGGGCCAGCGGCACCAATCGCATCGAGCCCGGCGCCTGCGACGAATAGGCCCGAGGTGAACGCGACGATGCGCGAGACGCAGGCTGTACAAGGCTGCAACACTCAGAGCAAGGCCTTCGGGCACACCACTCCCAGTGCCGGTGGAAGCCAGCGACTGCCCAAGCACTACAGTGCCGTCCTGCCGCGGAGAGGTCCACCGATGCCAGCCGCGGACAACGCTGTGGGTCGGCCCGTGGGGGGGGAGACCTCAGCGCTGCCTGTCCGACGGGCCCTCCGACAAGGCCTCCGCGGCCGCCGCGGGCGAACCCCTGAGGCACAGTGGGGGGCGCCCACCGGGCCGAAGCAGCGGGGGGCGCGACGCCCCACACCGCGGCCAGCCCGAAGCAGAGCCGGGGGGCGTCTCCAGTCACCTGGCGTGTCCAGGGGTGGATGCAACCAGCGGAGAGCACCTCGGCAGTGGAAAGGGGGGCGCAGCTAACCGCCGCAAGACACAAGTAACTTAATAGCTGATGCACGCCGAGAACATCTGCGCATGAAGGGGGGTGCAGCTAACCGCCGCGAAACACCATTACATCGAGGGGGGGGGCTGGCAGAACCTCGCCGACGCGGTCCCAGCTGGAGTGCGCCAGCGCCGGGCGCGCCTCATGGGGGGGTTCATATGCCGCCGCTGTACGCACCATAGCTGAAGCTGCGAACTAAGCCTAGGCACCGGCTGAGCGGCGAGCAGAGGGGGGACTATTTCAGACGACTGCCCCCTGCCACCGAGAGCGGGCGGCTGTCACGGCTGGACAGCAAAGGAGGGGCGCGCTGGGGCGGTGCATCTGCGGCCGCCCCCTTGTCACCGAGAGAGAATGGCTGTCGCCGAAGGGCAGCAAAGTAGGTGATCCCGGGACCGGTGAGGCCTGCGGGCTAGTCCCCACCTGCTGAAGGGGGGGTGAGATGTCCATGCATGGTCCACTTCTCCAGTGTGGGCTGTCTAGCTATGCTGCGCCATGGGTGAAATGCGGGGAGACCCCCGCCCCAGCGGGAGTTGCCCCAGGGCATGGCGGCCGAGGCTGGGAGAAAAGGGAAAGCGAGGCAAGGGTAGCGGCATGGGCACCTTCACTCGGCGGTGGACAAACCTCCCTTCAGTAAACCTTCCCTTAGTGAAAACGGCCTGGGACCGAAACCGACGGACCTGGACCCGCAAAAACGACGGCCGCGACGCCTTGTCGCGAACCGAAAACGGCCAATTCCTTAATCGACGTGTCAGGGTACTCCAGATTTCGTAATAAAGGGAGGGGGGTCTCATTTCGGGGGGGGTCTCTTCCAGGCTATCTTGGAGGGCCTGGGGGGGTCTGGGGACGATGTTTTGGAGGGTTCTCCCACGGGGGGGGTCTGAAATGGTTTGTCTTGGAGGGTCCAGACCCCCTCCCTTTTATTACGAAATCTGGAGTAGGAGGTCGATCCACCTCCGATTCACCTCCTTTGAGAGAGACCGTGACCACCGGGGATGGGGATCGGCTCGGCGATCTTTTTTTTTCCTGCATGATCACGACCGCAGTGCACGAGCAAACGCACGAGGCCCGTCCCGGGGCACTGAGCATGAGATCCGCTTCCCCTCACGGGGGCTATGAACGAGCCCATCGGATACAGGCACGGGCATGACGGCGGTAATGCAGCGGAGGAGGAGGAGGAGGACGAGGAGGAGGAGGAGGAGGGGATCGGCTCGGCGATCGGAGCGGGCTCACGCCCAAGCACTGGAGGCGGCGGCGCGCCACGCCGAGGCGGCGCGGGCCTGCCGAGCGCGGGCGACCCTCGGCGTTTCAGGGTGTCCCTGGGACTCCCTTCTGGAAGCCCGTGCAGAGGCAGGGGCAGGAGGAGGAGGAGGAGGAGGAGGAGGAGGGGGAGGAGAGGAGGAGGAGGAGGAGGAGGGTGAGGGGGTAGGGGCCAGGAGGAGGAGGAGGAGGCGGAGGAGGAGGCGGAGGAGAAGAGAGGAGGAGGAGAGGGGAGGGGGAGGGCAGGAGAGGAGGAGAAGGGGAGGAGGAGGAGAAGGGGGGAAGGAGGAGGAGAAGGGGAAAGGAGGAAGAGGAGAGGAGGAGGAGGAGGAAGGAGAGGAGGAGGAAGGAGGAGGAGGAGGAGGGAGAGGAGGAGGAGGAGGAGGAGGAGGAGGAGGAGGAGGAAACCGAACACGTAAGAAACATGAGCGCTTGGAGGTCCACCGCACGACCCTCCGACAGATCGGGTGCTTCGGTGGCGTGTCTTCTCCGAGAGCAGCACTCGGGCGGCGGACCCTCCGTGCCGAGCTCGTGGCCTCGCTCCGGCGCCGCGCGTACACTTTCCGCGCGGCTCCTGCCGGCCACGCGGAGGGCAACTCCCTCTCCGGGCGAAGCCAGGGCCGGGGCCAGCTCGGCCTGGGACCACTCGAGGACCTCCGAGCTCTGGCGGCGCTGCAGGATGGATCGGGCGCCGCGGCCGTTCTGGAGCGCGCCCAGAGGGTCTGAGAGCGCTCCAGAGCCGGAGGCCTCCCAGGTGGGGTGCGCATCGATGGGGTCGGAGGATCGCGCCGCATCGCCAATACATCGGCGATGCACCGGCGATGCATGGGCGATGCGCCGGCGATGCGCCCGCGATGCATCGTCGACGTGGGCGATGCATCGGCAACGTCGACGTGAAGCAAATCGGGCTCCACATCGAGCCGCATCGGCGATGCATCGGCGATGCGGCGCGATCCTCCGACCCCATCCACTCCGACCGATCTAGGAGGCCTAGAAGAACGCTCTGACCACACACCACACACACACACACACACACAAGGAGACCCGTCGGACCATGAGGCCAAAGCCCAGACTACAGGGGCCCGCTCTCGGACGCCCGCCCCCCCCCCCCCCCCAAAAAAACACCATTGCGATATGGTAAGCGATGTGGGTTCCGAGCTTCGGCGTTTGGACGAAAGTTGGGGGAAGGGGGTGGGCCTGGGTCTGGACCCGTGCTCGGAGGAGGGGGAGGAGAAGGAGGAGCAGGAGCAAGAGGAGGAGGAGGAGGAGGAGGAGGAGGAGGAGGAGGAGGAGGAGGAGGAGGAGGAGGAGGAGGAGGGGGAGGAGGAGGAGGAGGAGGAGGAGGGGGAGGGGTGAGAAGAAGGAGGAGGCGGAGGAGGAGGAGGAGGAGGTGGAGGGAGGATGGGAGGAGGAGGAGGAGGGGGAAGGGAGGGTCACAGATGCTCGGCGACGTCCTTGAGCTGAGCCTTGTTCTCGGAGTCCTCCGCTGCCCCGCGCCCGCACGCGGGGGAGGGGAAGGAGGCCGAGGGAGGAGGCGGCGGCCGGGAGAGGAGCAGGCACTGAGGACGAGGCGGAGGCGGCGAGCGAGGGCGAGAAGCGAGAAGGGGCGGGCCTTCTCAGAAGGCTCGGACGTCCTCAGGCCGTCTGGAAGTCTTTTGAGCCTTCCCCGAAGGCACAGGAGGCTCCTCAGACGGCCCGCCCCCCTCGCACTTCCCCCCCTCGCGCGCCGCCGGGCCTGGGGAAACAAAAAGGTACAGACACCGCTGCTCCCTGGACGTCTCCAGGGGCACGTTCTGACCAGAATCTCGAAGCGAATCCAGCGGTGGGCCTCCCAGGAGGCCCAAAACGGGGAAGACGAGGGAAGGGTAGCAATCTGGGTACCCCTTCCTGCTCTGAACTTCTCCCCCTCCCTCGCTTTCCGCCGAAGACGAGGAGGGGATCCTGCAGGATCTTGCAAGGCCTGACTGAGCAGGGACTGGATTGACCCCGGTCAGTACAGTCGGACCGAAGTACAAGATCGAGGTCGGTTCGGGGAGGGTACCCTCATGTTATTCGTACTTGTTGGGTGTTCGTTCCTGTGCATCCTGGAGAGGGCACCCTTGAATTTCCTACTTGCGTTGGCCCTGGCCTGGGTCCGACTGTAGATCCCCGAAGCTCCGCTCCAGGGAATCTGCGAGGACCCCCCTGCCTGGCGCGCGGAGCGCGCCAAGGGCGGCGCCGGAGGCGCCGCAGGGGGGGGGGCCCCAGCGCGGATCCAAGAAATCCGCGCGGAGCGCCAAAAGTTAGGTTTGTGGCGCTTCTGTTTCCTGTTCGATGTCCTGCTCTGAACTTCCCCCCACACCCCCTCGCGTGCCCCCGAAGACGAGGCGGAGGGGAAGGCGGAGGAGGAGGAGGAAGAGATGGAGAAGGAGGATGAGCAAGAAGATGAGGAGGAGGAGGAGGAGGAGGAGGAGGAAGGGGTAGGAGGAGGAGGAGGAGGAGGAGGAGGAGGGAGAGCAGGAGGAGGAGGAGGAGAAGGAGGAGAAGGAGGAGTAGGCGGTGGAGGAGGAACAGGAGCAGCGAGGCGGCGGAGGAAGAGGAGGAACCGGAAGAGGAGGAGGCGCGAGGAGGAGGAGGAGGATGAGAGGTGAGGAGGGGGAGGTGGAGGTGGATGGCAAGAGGATGAGGATGAGGATAAGGAGGAGGAGAGGAGGAGGAGGAGAGGAGGAAGGAGGAGAGGAGGAGAGAGGAGGAGGAGGAGGAGAGGCGGCCTGGGGCGGCGGCTCGGGCGGGTCGAGGTGCCAGGGCGGAGGGGGGGGGATGCGGGCGAACGAGTCCGTGCCAGGGCAGAGAGTGCGCGGTGTTCGCCCGCG